TATCTAGAAGCTGGAAACAACATCTGCTAACCCACGGGCTGCTCCTCCCAGGGCAACAAGTAGGCTGAGTACGGATCCAGACCTCTCTTTTTGCTTCTCCAGTTCTAATTCCTCCAGCTTCATCCCCAGCTCTGTAGCAGAAAACCTGCTGTGGTCTCCCTTTCCTCTCTTACCTCATCCCCCGTGAATCACAAAGCTCTTCCTCTCCAACTTACCTTACCCCCCCAACTCCGCTCCCCCCATCATCCCAGCCTTCAATTCCAGCAGGCATTCACTAGGTCACACCAGCTGAACAGGACAGGAAAACAAGTAAGCCAACTGAAGACCTTCACCACTCCCTTCTCCCCTCCAAATCCAGTCCCCCAGTCTCACCCCTAGTACTACAAAAGAACTCCAGCTGCAGCCTTCTTTCTTCCTTGCCCACATCCCCTATGGATCCCACAGACTATCCCTTCCTAAACTCCCTCCTCCAACTTGTTGCTTTATCCCAGCCTTCAGCTACAGCAGGCACCTGATGCTAAGCTACAGGCCACACCTGCCAGCAAACTGGATAGTCTGCCTGAAGATCTCTTCTCCCTCTGTTCCTCTAGATCCAATCTCCCAGTCTCATTCATGGCAAAACCTACAATGGTCCCCATTTCCCTTCTGTACCCATCATCAATGGATCACAAAGACCTTCCCCTTCAACTTTCCTCCCCCCCAACTTATCCTAGTATCCCAGTCTCCAACACCACAAGGCACTCCCTGTGATCACATCAGCTGAGCAAACAAGAAAAACAGGCAACAGATATCTGCCACACTTTCTAAAATCCAGAGAGGAAACAGAAACACCCTCTCAACAAAGACAAATCCAGAAATTAGCACCTAGATCTATAACCATCCCAAACACAACTGCCTAGATGCTAGCATAAAACAACAGCCAGGGAAATATGTTCCCAGGAGAGCCCAGCTTACCCTACCACAGCAGGCACTGAGCATTACAACATAGCTGAAGCAGAAGAAAAAGACCTTTAAACCAAATATATGAAGACGACAGAGGCCCTTCACGAGGAAATGAAAACATCCCTTAAAGAAATCCAGGGAAACCCAAGCGAACAATTGGAAAAAAATATTAATGAATCCCCTAAAGAAACCCAAGAAAACAGAGAGTTGAAGGATATGAATAAAACTGTTCAAGACCTGAAAATGGAAATAGAAGCTATAAAGAAAACACAAACTGAGGGAATTCTGGAAATGAAAAATTTAGGAATTCTAACAGGAACCAAAGATACAAGTTTCAACAACAGAACACAAGAGATAGAAGAAAGAATCCCAGGTGTTAAAGACATGATAGAATAAATGGATCCATTGGTTAAAGAAAATCTTAAATCTAAAAAGCTCTGGACTCAAAACATCTAGGAAATCTGGGATACCACTAAAAAGACCAAACCTAGGAATCATAGTAATAGAAAGAGAAAAATCCCAGCTCAAAGGTCCAGAAAATACTTTCAACAAAATTACAGTTGCAAAATTTCCTAAACTAAAGAAGGAGATGCCTATAAAGGTAAAGGAACAAGAAGCCTTCAGAACATCAAATGGATTGGACCAGAAAAGAAAGTCCTCTCAGCATATAATAATCAAAACAGTAAACATACAAAAATATTATAATCTGCAAGAGAAAAAGACAAGGTGATATATAAAGGCAGACCTATTAGAATTATACCTGACTTCTTAGTGGAGACTATAAAATCCAGAAGGGCCTGGATAGATACACCGCAGACTCTAATAGACCACAGGTGCCAGCCCAGACTACCATACCCAGCAAAACTTTCAGTCACCATAGACAGAGAAAATAAGATATTCCACGATAAAGCCAAATTTAAACAATACCTATCTAAAAATTCAGCTCTAAAAAAGGTGCTGCAAGGACAATTCCAAACCAAGGATGTTAACTATACCCATGAAAACATGGAATAATCTTAGACCAGCAAAACCAAAAAAAGTAAAGTGTTTGTGCGCGCACGCACACACACACACACACACACACACACACACACACACGCTCATACACACTACCACCATCATCACCCATAAGTTAACAGGAATCAACAATAATTGGACATTGATATGTCTCAATATCAATGATGCTAATGCCCCAATAAAAAGACACAGACTAACAGAATGGGCACATAAACAAGATCCATCCTTCTGCTGCATCCAAGAAACACAACGAAACATCAAGGATTGATATCACCTTAGGGTAAAGGTTTGGAAAAGATATTCTAAGAAAATGGACCTAAGAAGAGAGTGGGTATAGCCATTTTAATATCTAACAAAACAGACTTAAAACCAAAACAAATCAGAAGAGGTAAGGAAGGACACTCCATAAGGAAGGACACTCCATACTCTCTAAAGGAAAAATCCACTAAGATAACATTTATGTTCTTAACATCTATGTCCCAAATGCACGGACACTCAAGTTTGTAAAAGAAACACTACTACAGCCTAAATCACATATTGACCACCACACATTGATAGTGGGAGACTTCAATACCCCACTCTCACCAATGGACAGGTCATGTAGACAAAAACTAAACTGGAGCTAACAGAAATTATGAACCAAATGGACCTATCAGTATCTACAGAATATTTCACCCAAACACAAAAGAATATACTTTCTCAGAAACGCCTGGAATTCTTTCCAAAATTGACCACATAGTTGGTCACAAATCTTGTATCAACAGATACAAGAAAATTGAAGTAACTTCCTGTGTCCTATCAGACTACCATAGATTAAAGATGGATATCAACAACAACAATAACAGCAGAAACAACAGAAGACTTACACACTCATGGAAATTGAACAAGTCTCTACTGGATGAGTACCGGGTCAAGACAGAAATAAAAAAAAAAAATTAAAGACTTTCTAGAATTCAATGAAAATGAATACACAGCATACCCAAACGTATAGGACACAATGAAAGTGGCGCTAAGAGAAAATTTCATATCACTAAGTGCAGCAATCTTACGTGAAGCAATCTTACACTTGCAATTTAACAGCACACCTGAAAACTCTAAAAGAAAAAGAAGTAATCACACACAAGAAGAGTAAGTGACAAGAAATAATCACATGCAGGGCTGAAATCAATCAAACAGGAACAAAGAAAACAACATAAAGAATGAATGAAACAAAGAGCTGGTTCTTTGAGAAAATAAAAGTAATGGACAAACCCTTATCCAAACTAAGTAAAAGGCTGAGAGAGAATATCCAAATTAATAAAATCAGAAACGAAAAAGGGGACATAACATCAGATACCAAGGAAATGCAGAGAATCATAAGGCCGTACTTTAAATGGCTGTACACGACAAAATTGGGAAATATAAAAGACATGGATAATTTTCTTAATAATATTACTTACCAAATGTTAAATCAAAAACAGATAATCAATTTAAATAGACCTATAGCCCCTAATGAAAAAGACATAGTCATTAAAATCTCCCAAACAAAAAAAGCTCTGTGCCATATGGTTTTAGTATTAGAATTTTAGTTTTAGAAATTTAGTTTTAGAAATTTAGTATTAGAAATTTAGTTTTAAAATTTTAAATTCTGCACTAAATACTCCTCAAATTATTCCACAAAGTAATTTGTGGAAACAGAAGGAATTCTTTCTAATTCATTTTATGCGGCCACAGTTACCCTGCTTCCCAAAATGCATAATGACTCATCAAAAAAGAGAGAATTACAGACCAATTTCACTTATGACCATAGATGCAAAAAATATACAATAAAATACTCGCAAATGAAATCCAAGAACACATCAAAAAAGATCATCTCCCATTATCAAGCAGGCTTTATCTCAGAGATGCAGGGATGGTTTGATGTATAAAAATCCACCATATAATAATGTAAATAAATGTAATCCACCATATAAACAAACTGAAAGACCCCCCCCACACACACATAATCATATCATTAGATACAGAAAAGGCCTCTGACAAAATCCTATGGCCTTTTATGATAAAAAACTTAGAGAAATTAGAGATATAAGGGACATACCTAAACATAATAAAGGCAGTTTACAGCAAACCTATACTTAAATTAAAGAGAGAAATTCAAACCATTTCAACTAAAATCAGGAACAAGGCAAGGCTGTTCACACTCTCTATATCTATTTAATGTGGTTCTTGAAGTCTTAGCTAGAGCAATAAGACAACTGAAGAAAATCAAGAGGATACTGATTGGAAAAGAAGAAGTAAAATATTGTTATTTGCTAATGATATGATAGTATTCATAAGTGATCTTAAAAATTCCACTGGGGAACTCCTACAGGTGATAAATACTTTTTTTAAAATTTAAATTTATTCATTTTACATCCCAATTATAGCCCCCTCCCTTATCTCCTCCTGGCCCCACCCTCTCTCTCTCTCTTTCCCCAACCTCCTCCCCTAGTCCTTAGAAAGGAGGAGCTCTCCTCCCCAACCAACTCACCCCTGCCTATCAAGTCTAATCAGGACTGCCTGCATCCTCTTCCTGTGTGGCCTGGCAAGGCCACCCTACCAGGGGGAAGTGATCAAAGAGTGGTCAACAGAGTCCATGATAGAGTCAGCCCCTGCTCCTCTTAGTAGGGAACCCACATGGGATACTGAGCAGCCTATAGGCTACATCTGAGCAAGGGGTCAAGGTCCTCTCCCTGCATGGTCCTTGGTTGGTGAATCAGCCTCTGCAGATCCCCCTGGGTCCAGATTAGTTGGCTCTGTTGGTCTTCTGTGGTGCTTCTGTCCTCTCCACGTCCTTCTATCTCCTCACTCTTTCATAAAACTCCCTGTGCTCTGCCCAAAGTTTGGCTTTGGGTATCAGCAGCTGCTTCAATCCCTGGCTGGGTGGAGTCTTTCAGAAGACATCTATAGTAAGCTCCTGCTCTTTTGTCTCTCTTCAGCTACTTCTGGTGACTATTCTATTTGCCCTTCTGAATGAGGATTAAGAATCCTCTCTAGGGTTCTTCTTGTTATTTAGCTTCATTAAAAATATGGAATGCTTCACGAATATGCATGTCATCCTTGTGCAGAGGCCATGATAAACTACTCGGTCTGGTTCTAATTTTAGTATATGTGCTGTCAAAGTTAGCACAGGTGATAAACACTTTTAGCAAAGAAGGTGGATACAAAATGACCTCACTAAATCAGTGGCTCTCCTATACATAAATGAAAAATGGACTGAGAAAGAAATCAGGGAAACAACAGCTAACACAATAGCCTCAGATAATATAAAATATCTTGGGGTAACTCTATCAAGCAAGAGAAAGACTTGTATTATTAAAAACCTCAGGTCTTTGGAGGAAAAAATTGAAGAAGATATCAGAAGTGGAAAAATCTTTCATGTTCATGGATCATTAGGATGAACATAGTAAAAATGGCGATCTGACCAAAACCAATCTACATATTCAATGCAATCTCTATCAAAATTCTAACACCATTCTTTGCATACCTCGAAAGGACAACTCTAAACTTCATAAGGAAAAACAAAAGGACCCAGGAGAGCCGAAACAACTCCGAACAATAAAAGAATCAAGTCCCCCTGAGTGGGGAGCAGCCCTACCAGGCCACAGAAGAGGACAATGCAGCCACTTTTGATGAGAACTGATAGACTAAGATCAGAAAGGAGAGGAGAACCTCCCCTATCAGTGGACTTGGGGAGTGGCATGCATACAGAAAGGGGAGGGAGGGTGGGATCGGGAGGGGAGGAGGGAGGGGCTTATGGGGGGATACAAAGTGAAAAAACTGTAATTAATAAAATAAAATAAAATAAAAAAATGGGTTATCTAAACAGATAACCCATGAAAAATTATCTAAACAGATAATTCTCAACATAGAGAACTCAGATGGCTGAGAAATACTTAAAGAAATGTCCTGTCCTTAGCCACCAGGGAAACACAGGTCAAAACTACTTTGAGATTCCATCTTACATTTGTCAGAATGACTATGTTTAGTAATAAAGGGACAGCTCATGCTGACAATAATGTAAAGCAAGGGAAACAGTCCTCCATTGTCGGTGGGAATGCAAGCTTGTACAACTACTATGGAAATCAGTGGTTCTTCAGAAAGATGGGAAACTGATTTACCCCAAGATACAGCCATACCACTTCTGGGCATATACCAAAGGATGCTACACCACACCACAAGGACACTCACTCAACTATGTTCCTAGCAGCCTTATTAATAATAGCCAGAAACTGGAAACAACCTAGATGTCCCTCAATAGAAGAATGGATAATAAATGTGGTACATTCTCACAATGGAGTATTATTCTCAGCTGTTAAAAAATGACAACAAGAAATTTGTAGGTAAACAGATGGATTCCTAAATGAGGTAACCAGACCCAGGAACATAAATATGGTATGTATTCACTTATATGTTCATGATAAAGATAATCAAGTAAATGATAATCATTACAATCCGTAGATTCAGAGAGATTAGGTGTAGAGGAATGGCCTGGGGTGGGTGGGACACACACTCACAAACTCATTGAACATGGAGAAGTCCAGCTGGTGCCTGCATGGAGCCTTCACTCTTACACTATAGTAGCTTTAGTATAAGAAGGTACTCTGTAGGCTACCAGAAGAGAAACACAAACACCAGTCTAGCCACAAACCCTTTCCCCCACAATCTGTCTTGCCTGCAAGATATGCTAGGGCGACGGTGGCACAGAACTTGTGGGGATAGTCTACCAATGTCAGATTTGACTTAAGGCCCATTTCATGAGATGGAACCCATCATGACACTGCTTGTTTGACCAAGAACCAGAAACTAGATAGCCCAGCGATCTAGGGTAAAAACCAAATGCTACTGTCTAAACTCTAAATGATATTCTGCTACACTCATTAATCAGTGTCTTCTTCAGTCATCATCAGAGAAGCCACTTGCCCTAGGATATCTTGAAGGGAACCCTAGCTGTGGCTCTCTGCATCTGTTCCCATCTACTGCTGGAGGAAGCTTCTCTGACTCAAAGAGAGAGCCTAAATGGGATGTCTCCATGAAATGTCTCCCTCTCAGAGCTTAGAGAACCCTGATAAAGAGGAGGTGGAAAGGACAGAAAATTCAGGGGGTGGGGGATGGAGGGCAAGGAGAACACGGCCTTCTGAATCAGACAAGCAAGGTGCATTATGAACAGAGACTGAAGCAGCAAGCACAGGGCTGATGGGTCTACACCAGGCCCTTTGCGTATATATTACAGCTTTCAGCTTAGCATTTTAATGGAATTCTTGAATGTGAGAATGATTTAGTCTCTAATTCTTGTGCCTGCTATTAGGACACTTTTCCTTTTGTTTGATTGCTTTGTCTAAATCTTGATGCGATGGTTTTTGCTTTCTCTTATTATATTTTATTTTGTCATGTTAAGTTGTTAATCTCTTAGAGGCCTGTTCTTTTCTAATGACAGACAGAAAAGGAAGTGGATCCAGAGGGGAGGTGAGGTGAGGAGGAACTGGGAGGAATAGAGGAAGGCGAAATGATAATCAGTATATATTATATGAGAAAAGAATCTTTTCAATAAAAGGAAAAAATTAAAAGAAACATTTGAGTTAGCTTTAGTGACATTTCATGCTAAAAACCTAAACGTATAAGAAACTATATTTCAACACAGTAGCAATGAGCAGTTAAAGGCAGAGAATATTAAATCACCATTTCAAGAAACAAGACTTTCTTATATAAATGTAACAAAGCAGGTATGAGTTATGTTTGACAATGGCTACACAGTTTGATGAAAGAACTCAAGGCCAATATAAACAGAAAACATGGCTGTACCTCACCAGTTAAAAGTCAATGTAGCCTGGCAAGGCTGTTCCTCCCTCAGGGAGGGTGATCAAAGAGCCAGCCACTGAGTTCATGTCAGAGACAGTCCCTATTCCTAGGGTCAGATGGAAGGGGAGGAGGACCTCCCCTATCAGCAGACTTAGAGAGGGGCACAGGAGGAGATGAAGGAAGGAGGGTGTGATTGGGAGGGAATGAAGGAGGGGGCTACAGATGGGATACAAAGCGAATAAAATGTAATTAATGTAAAAAATAAAAATTTAATTAAGAAAGTCAATGTAGCAAGGCTATCCTTTAATACATAACAGAACTCCAACCAAAATCCCTGGTCACTTCTAAGTTAGAGGCAAAATGATGCCAAAATTCTACGGAGAGGCAATGGAAATAGAGTAGTGAAACAGTTTTGGAAGGAAAGAATGAGTTCTGGGGAAGCATGCCATCAGACTGTGAGACTCCCTGCAACAGTGTAGGAGCCAAGCTGGTGTACTGTTAGCAAGGAAACAGATGCCATGGGCAAGAGCAGAAATAGATTCCTACAGATATGCTCAGTTAGCTCTTCTACATTGGAAAAGCATAATTCTTACTTAATGGTGGATAGGTGATATTTCCAACAAATTGTGTTAAAACTACTGGCATGCATATAAGTAAGAACAGACCTAAAGCTGGCCAGTTGTGGAACATGCCTTTAATCCCAGCTCTTGGGAGGCAGGGGCAGGTGGATCTATGAGTTTGAGGCCAGGCTGGTTTACAGAGTGAGTTTCAAGACAGCCAGGGCTACACAGAGAAACCATGTCTCAAAAAATCAAAACAAAAGAAAACAAACAACAACAAAATGAACCTGAACCAAAACCCCATACATTACATAAAAATAAAACTCATAATGGGTCACAGATCTAAATAGAAAACACAAAAGTGAAAAACTTTTAAAAGAGTACATATGAGAAGAGCTCTGGAGCCACAACAAGCTTCTTAGACTTGCACAGGCATGAGCTACAAAGTACAAAGCGAACAAGTTCAGTTGTATCAAACTGAGATCTTCCAGCTGAAACTGCTCCATGAAGAGAATGCAGAGCCCAGCAGGGGCCTGGAGAAAATGTCTGCACAGTTTGTCTGAGAGAGGATTTGAATTCATTATATACAAAGACCTCTTCATGCTCCCGTATAGGAAAACAAAAACAAAAACAAAAACAAAAACAACTTAAGTTACAAATATGTAAAAAGTATGGACAGAAGTTTCACAAGATAGAATATCCAGATTAAAAAAAAAAATTAAAAAGACCAGCACGAAATCATCTCAGTGCCCTAAGCCATTATGTAAATGAAACATCAGAGTGATTAAAATTAGCAGAGGCAAAGAAATGCAGGTACTGGTAAGGACTTGGCACAGACAGCATCTCACATGCTGCTGGTGGGGATTTGGGCTGGCCCACCACGGTGGAAAACAGCACAGCAATATCTTTACAGGTAAGCACACACCACAGGCAGCCTAACCAGGTAAAACTAAACATGCATTCACAGAAAGTCTGCTGTGAAATAGGTGCAGAAACTCCAGTGCAACTGCCCCAAACTGGCAACGAGTGAAAATGGTCCATGCCTTACTACTCAGCAATTAAAAAGAAACTACTGACTCATGACTGAGATGAACTCTCAGGAATCATGCTGAGTTGTAGGGCGCTGAAGTAAGCCTGAGTGAGTAAAGTCCTGAGTGAAAGCATGTGTTGACCTGATCTGGACATACGATAGCAGGTATGACCCCATAGCCTCAGACCCATGTTTTAGTGGCAAAGCCTTCTTCACTGGAGTGTGACTCAGAAGGAAAGGGCAAAGCCTTTCTTTCTGGGCCACGTGTGGATAGTATGTGCAAAAAAAAATGCTCTCTATAGCCTTCTCCATCTTATTTAACCCCAAGTTTATGGCTTGCACGCTGCTACCCCACAAAGAACGCTCCTACTGAGATTAGCTAAACCTGTCTCCATGACCCACTGATATACAATAAACTCTGCCTCCTTTTTTTATCTGTATGTAATAACCCTGCCTCTGTTCAACGACACAAACTAAACATGCTGAGCTTCCATGGTGCTATGGTTTCTCCAGCAGCAAGCCTAGGCCAGCCCATGAGAGCTTTCTGTCTTTTCTTTACTCCCTCAGAGCCCAATCAGGTCAGTTAAGGAGCAGAGCTGGACTAGGAACTGAGTGACTTGCTAGTTCTGAAAGATCAAACTGTAAGAGTCCATGATCTCAACATCTCTTTGAAGAGTTAAGGCGGAGGTACAGACAGTGCTGTGGCTGCCTGAGGCCCTGGCTGGGGCCTAGCCTTTGGAGGTGGGGCAGTACCTTGTGCCTGACAGTAGGGCTACTCACGTGAATCTAACCATATGCTAATGCATAGATTGGCACAGAAAATCCAGTTTTTATGTATCTTAATTAAAAAAAAATAAAGAAAAAGTATAATAGTGCTTAGACTCTGTGTAAGGGGAAGCAAGAGAAATGAGATGCAGCAGCTGGCTACAGCAGCATGAGCTGCCTGCACAGATTCCGGGGCACCTTCTACTCTTCACCATCATCCTGTAAGGTGAATTGGGGCCAACTTACATTACAAAAAATTTCAAAAAACCCCAAGGATAAAGGAAGTAAAATAATTGACTACTTTTGCTTGATAAGTAGTGGAGTCTGGCATGGACCAGCCCGACTGCAGCCTCCTGCCCAACCTGCTCATTTCTAGGTTGCTCCTTACGCCTGTAACCTGAGCGGCAGCGACCTTGAGGGGACTGACTTCATGTGATACAGGGCAGCAAGGACCACACCTTTACTCACAAACGTTGCTGAACCCATGAGCTGAGCTGAAATTATGATAGGCCGAGGGGACTTTTAGACCACATGTGGTGGTAGGAATCGGTATGGCCCCCTAAACTTGTGTGTGTGAGTGGTTGGCCCATAGGGAGTAGCACTATTATGACATGTGGCCTTATTGGAGTAGGTGTGACTCTGCTGGAAGAACTGTGTCACTGTGGGATTTGAGGTTACATGTGCTCAAGCTATGCTCAGTGTAGCACAGAGTGTAACATATAGTTTCTTTTGGCTGCCTGCAATAAGATGCAGAACTCTCAGCTTCTCCAGTACCATGTCTGCCTGCATACTGCCGTGCTTTCCACCATGATGATAATGGACTGAAACTCTGAAACTGTAAGCCAGCCCCAATTAAATGTTTTCCTTTATAAAAGTTGTCTTAGTCATGGTGTCTCTTTACAGCAATAAAACCCTAACTAAGGCACTGTGCATTAGGAATTCCTTGGTGCTCCAACAAGAGCTTCCAAATTTCAGGAGCTACCCCCGTTTATGCAAATGTCTAGTAATTCAGTTTTCTCTAATTGACCTTGAGAATTACTTATACTGCTTCATGGTTCCTAACTCCACAAACTGCAATTCATGCATCTGGGGCAGACGAGTCTTGAAAAGACGGCACTTGCCTCCCAATTCTCGAATGTCCTGAGCAGCAGAAACCAGATTTTTATTGTTCTTTGCCTCAGCAGTGTCATCACTCAAGAGGAAGAACAGAGGTTAATTCCAGTCGCTAATAAGTACAGCTAAATAGAGCTGTAGAAATATCACACACACACACACACACACACACACACACACACACACACACATACACACACACACACACACAAACACACACGCCTTCCTTGTTGCCGGAGCTCTGCTGGGAAAACCTGAAGGTGCACTTTGATTTCAGTACGACTAGGTGGTTTTTCCACTGATAATTTTGGCCTAAGACATTTGTGTCTCAGCTAAGACAAAGTTATGAAGAAATGGTCTCCAGGAAAGTATATTCTTTAATGTTCTGGAATTTCTACTTCATTGAGTATACTGTACTCTAAAAAAAGGATTATTATTAGTTGGCCTCATTCTCTGGATTCATGCACCAGTACCTCTGTCTGCACGTTAACAGTTGGTGATCCATGTCCTGCCCCAAAAAACCACAAGCAAAACAAAAGAATTCCATCCCCAACATTAACACTTCGTTTTACTTCAAAAGTAGCCACATCTGTCCAAGTGACAAGTTTGTCAAGCAATGAGGACCTTCTTATCTTCTTTCCCTGCTGTGAGATGTCCAAGCTTGAATGGGTGGTTTGGGCACAGTGAGGTCCACATACCTTCCAGCAGGTCTCTGGCCAGACCAGGTTCTGCCCCCGTGGACCGAACAAAGTCTGACAGGACTGCGTCCATATCAAGCGTCATAGGGTCATGTAGAAGTGCTGCCCAGCACTCAGCCGAGGGCGGGTTTGCAATCAGGCTAGAGACCATCCATCTGCAGGAGACAAGAGAAGGGCATCTCACCATGCAAAGGACTAGAGGGATGTGAGACACACACACACACACACACACACACACACACACACACACACACACA